TTTTATTCTCTCTTATACAAAGCTGAAATCGGTAATGCCTCTAAGGTTCGGTATCTCGTACCTCTACGTATTCATTTACGAAAAAAGGAAAAACAAAAACTTTAGGCAGCGAGTATTTCACATCTTTTCTTCGTGATTCGATGCCTTCAAAAGTCAAATAAGGACAGGTTATTCAGTAGTTCTAACTCACTTATGTTTTTATTATATCCAGCACCTTCCTTGCAATGGTCTCGAGGGAAGAACGGGGGACAGACTACGTACCTAGATAACGAACAACCAGATTCATCCAGTGTTGCCACTTTAGTCGGATTTCCCACAGATCTGAGGGAGAAATTGCCTTACTTGTGACTGTCGCTCGTAGTCTGTGTTGATTTTCATGAGAATTCATATACTTTTAGGGAAATGCTATGGAATTATATGAAGTTTGACAGAAACTGATGGTTGATTTTACCATAGAATATATAGACTTTTGGTAATATTATGAAGATGATTAAACAGGTGAAGTTAAATGAGTCAGGTACTCATGTTCGTAGTCTGTGTTAATTTTCATGAGAATTCATATAATTTTAGGGAAATGCTATGGAATTATATGAAGTTTGACAGAAACTGATGATTGATTTTACCATAAAAGATATAGACTTTAGGTAATATTATGAAAATGTTTTAGTCTCAGTATCTCATTGCAAGCATCGGGTAATCCATGTTGTAGTTAATATGAGGCATGTGCCAAATTGTTCACCACATTTTCAGCTGTCTGATCTTTGAATAAGGCTCATAACAGCTTTTGCTAAGAACAGGTGTAAAACGTCTGTGCTTGAACACATGTCGAGTACAGATATACTGACCAGAAAATGTTGACATTCTCCTAATGCTAAATAAATATCACCCATCCAATGCCACATCCCTGAGAAAAAAAATTATATTGTCCTTGGTGGTAAGTATAAATCGACTTTTCAGGAGCTAGATGATCTTAAAAATTAATGGTGCATGAAAGGACTTCATCAATAGCCCAAAAACTGTTTGGGTAATATATATTTTTGGGCCGATTCGAATGAAATTAATATTCTACAGAACAAAAAATATACTCTACTTTCTTTCTGACATTACCCTGGTATTGTTTTAAATACCTTTTTTTTTTACAATGCGTCAATAGAAAGTATCTTTTCTCAGATGAATGCTGCTCATTCTAAACCTGTAAATCACCTCATGGTTATATCAGTGGAGGTTTCAGTACAAATTAGATAGATTGCCTCATTACAATTCAGTCATGCACAAGCTCTGCCAAACTGTGTACGATCTGTAAAATGTAAATTAAATATGCAAGTCCATCAATTTTCCTAATTTTGTATATTTATGCAATGACTTAAAAATAAGCTAGGTTAAGAGAATATTTATATGTTTTCATTAGTTAAGAAATACCCGTAATTATGTGATTTTCATAATGATTGTATAATGAGGAATTTTAATGGAATTTTCTTTTCAATTTGTGAGATTTTAGGGGGGGGGAGAGTTAATTATCTGCTGAGAATGGCTTTTACAAAAAGTGTCAACAATTATTAACAAACAGTCCTGTACTCTGCAGTGTGTGTGTGTGTGTGTGGTTGAGTTGATTTTTTTTTCTTTTCTTATAGGTAAGCATTCATTACTAACTCGAATCAGCGCCGAAATCGTGGCTCCAGCGTCGAATTCGACTTATTTTCGATAATGGTGATAAACCTAGAGCCTAGAGCTACTTGGTATCGAAACAGTTGCGCAACAGTATCTGCATTTGCATGGTAGTGAGTATCGGCAAGTTAGCAGTAATATCAATATAGTTGCCCAACAGTTGAATATAAACCGGGCTCCCCAAATAGGCATAGCCCGGGCGAGGCTCTGCTTCGCGAATCTTAAAAAAAAAAAAAAAAAAAATAGTATTTCAGAAAATGTTGCTCCACAGTTTAGCGTCTGTTGCGAAAGAATTGCAAGATTTTTTTTTCTTTTTTCTTTTTTTTTCTTTTTTTTTTCTTTTTTTTTTTTGAACAACTGTTTCAGATACGGATACGTATCAATATATTTTGATCTGATCTAGTCATAAGGCTGAGTGATGGTTCAGATCTGAGATATCAGCAATATGAAGTCACTGTTTTAGTATTATCATTATTAGTGTTCTTGTTGTTATTATCATTATTAGTATAATGATTATGGTTATTATTATTATTATCATTATTCTTTTTGTTGTTGTTAATATTATCATCATCATCATTACCACTATCGTTATTATTATCATTATTACTTTTGCTATTGCTATTACTATTAATGTTATTGTTATTATTGTTATTATCATTATCACTACCATCATTATTACCATCATTATTATTATAATAATTGTTATTACTTTTATTATCATCATCATTGTTTTCATCATTGTTGTTGTTGTACCTATCGTCATTATAATCGTTATCATTATTATTATCACCATCATCATTATCATTATTATCATTATTTCTATTATCGGTATCATCATCATCATCTTTATCTTTATTATCATCATCACTATTATCGTTATCATCTTCATAATAATTATAATTATCATCATCATAATAGCTATCATTACCATCATCATGATAATTATCATTATCGTCATGATAATTGCTATTGCTATTATGACTAATATGATTATTATCCTCATTATTGCTATTATTATCACATTATCATTATTGCTATTATCACTATAAATATCATCATCGTAAACGTCATCGTCATCATCGCAGTCATCATCCTCATCTTCAACATTACCATTATCTTCATCATTATTATCAACATTCCTATCCCTATCATTATCACTATTATCATATTATCATTGTCTTTTTTTTCTTCTTCTTCATCTTTTTTGTTGCTGTTATTATCTATGTGTTGTTTTACGCTTGCCCCTCCCGTAGTAAATCATATTCCTATAGAATTATATATATATGTATATATATATATATATATATATATATATATATATATATATATATATATATATATATATATATATATATATATATATATATATATATATTCTACACAGCCATTCATTCCACTGCAGGACATAGACCTCTCTCAAATCACTATTGAGAGGTTATTTGGCAGTGCCACCCTTGCCTGATGGGATACCCTTCCTAATGAACCGCAGTTCGGCGCGCTAACACCTGTGCCACGGCGGAGACTTCCCCTACGACACCTGCGTTTGACTTCTCAAGGCGATATGTCGTTTTCTCGGGCTCGAGGTAGCAGTCAGAGCGCAGGCATTTTTACGACCGCCGCGACGAGGAATTGAACTCGGGACCACAAGGGCCGGAGTCCAGTGCGCTAACCACTGGACTATCGTGGCAGTCATATATATATATATATATATATATATATATATATATATATATATATATATATATACACGCGCGCGTGTGTGTGAAAGAAAGAAAAAGGAGAAAAAAAATAAAAGAAAAAGAAAACATTCAGAGTGAAATTGCATATTTCAAAAAAACATTCACGAAAATCTCGCATATTTATATAAATATATATATATATATTTATCACGCTGTATATATAATAAAAAAAACAAAGTTGGTGAAGATTCATTCTCTGTGACTTTCATCTTGAGCTAAAAAAACGTGGATTTGAGCTCTCCCGCCTTCTGACATCTCTGAACACTTTTATCATCTAGGACTTTCCCGATTTCTTTTCTCTCGCACTGAGAGGCCCCAAAAATATGCTTTAAGGAAGAAAATATTACTTAACCATTACTCGTAAACAGTGGCGACGCATATATATATATATTTTTTTTTTTTTTTTTTTTTTTTCTTATTCGTTTGTTTTAGACGAATCTCGCCGTCTCGATGTCTCGTTGCTTCACCGATCATGCTTTACGGCATTCGATGGTGAGTGAAAAAGGCCTATGAGATAAGAAAAGGGAGGAATATCTGTTTTTATTTTATGAGACTGTTCGTAAAGCAATGAGAAAGACTCGTGAATAGTTTTTTGCTGAGCTGGCTGCATATGTTCGTAAAAGCTCCGGCAGATGCGAACGTGTGAACATTACCAGATGTATGAGAATTTCAGTAAGGCTAAGAGTTGGATTTAAACTGCAAAAGGTATGCTGTTGACATGTCTCGATGATGTAGATCGGTGTTCATATTTGTGATGCGTCGGTTTAGATGGAGAAAATTATAAATGAACATGACTTTGACTCGAATTTCTACATAAAACGTCGGTCAAAATCTGGTTTTCGTATTCCCATCCTTTTTTTTCATTATGTTTCGATTATTACGCCTCGTTTTCGACTACGTAAATAACGTAGCATAATCTACCAATAATAAGCATATAAATTTTCTTATGAACAGTTTAAGTATATACAAGTGCATATTAGGGATATAACTGCCTGAATAAATATCACTAATTTTACGGAGCAAATATATAATTATGATATTCCTCCATCAACAGGTGAATACACTTACCTGAAAATCGGAGACTGTGAACGTAAAAATCTGGAAAACAATGCACCTCTAAAGTGATCGGACTCATACGGTCTCAGACACTCCTGCAATCCGGTCTGTGCAAAAACTTTGTGTTTGTTGACTTGAATAAGTCTATTTTGCACTTTTGCACTTGCACTATTTTGCACAATGATATTTTACAATCGTGAGCAAAGAAGATACGGGGGGTAAGAGCCTATCTCAGAAATTCGGCATTCCTCTTCATTATTATTCCAAAAGGGTGATACGAGGCAATCTACTCCCTTCAATGTTATTTTAAAAGGGAATACGAGCCTATATCAGAAATCAGCATTGCCATTTGTTATTCCGAAAGGGGGATACGAACCCATCTCCTTTCAACAATATTCTGAGAGGGGGATACGAGCCTACATCAGGAACCCGGCATTCCCTTTCAGTGTTATTCTGGAAAGGGGATTCGAGCCTACGTTTTCCCATTAAGTGTTATACTGAAAGGAGGATACGAGCCTATCTCTTCCAGTGTTATTCTGAAAAAGAAATACCTGCTTTATATCTTCCGTTTAGTTTTATTCCTAAAGGGGGATACGAGCTTACATCAGGAATCCACCATTCCCTTTTAGTGTTATTCAGAAAGGGGGATACGAGCCTACATCTTCCTTTCAGTGTTATCCTGAAAGATGCCAGGCCTTCTGCAGCAGCAGTCCTTTCCGAAGATTCCCGTCCTTCTCTTCGTGGTCGTAGCTACGGGGATTAGCCTCTACAGAACCCTGGGCACGGAACTGAACAATACGGCGATGCTACAGTTCCGTAACCCGCGCCCAGTTGTTCAGGATAAGCCGACGGAGGTGCTGAAGAGACCGTCGGAGGCGATGAAGAGGAGGATGGGCGGCGGAGAGGAGGAAGCCACCTCCGAGGACCAGGTGAAAATGAAACCGAAGGTGGTTCTCTTCTGGACGTCTTGGTTTAGGGCGCAGTGGGCGGCCAAGAAAGGCGTTCTTACCAGGTAGATTTCCGCTTTCTGGTTTTGTTCGGGTTTTGGCCATTTACTGAATGCGTGCATGTATACAGCACACACACACTCACACGCGCAGACATACACACACGCACACACACACGCACACACATACACACATATACACACACACACACACACACACACACACACACACACACACATTCACACGTGCACGCATACACACACACACACACATACACACATACACACACATACACACACATACACACACATTCACACACACACACACACACACTCACACACACTCACACACACACACACACTCACACACACACACACACTCACACACTCACACACACACACACACACACACACACACATATATACATATACATATATATGCATGTCTCTGTGTGTGTGTAAACCTATATATATTTGCCACCCTTTACTGAATTTAACGATTTCAAATGTATAATAAATTTCATTGAGGTATAGAACATGACATATTTCGTAATCGTCCAAGATAACACAGAAAAAAAGTTTGAGGGAATTACTCTGTGGCAATTGTTATATGACATATATAAAGTGAAGCCATGTGTGTTTGTATGTCTTTGCATGTGTGTGTGCGTGTGTGTTGTGTTAGTGTGTATGTGTGTGTGTGTGTTTGTTTGGGTTAGTGTTTTTTTTTTTTGTTAATGTGTATGTATGTGCGTTTGTGTTTGCATGTATGTGTGCGCGTGTTTGCTTGTGTGTCTGTGTGAATAATGTGCCCTGCTTATGAAAATTAAGTACAGAACTGTTCAGAAATATAGAGTATATGACATGCAGGTCATACAGTAATAAATACACAGAGTTAATTGGAATATTTGAATAATAAACTTCTTTACAGAAGAGTTCGGCCGTTGCATAAATTCAGTTTATTTTCTGTTTGTGTTCCTTGCCCTATTCAGTTATCAAGGTCCATGCCGCCTCTGTGTTCATTTGCATTTGGCTTTCTCCCTCTCTCTCTCTCTCTCTCTCTCTCTCTCTCTCTCTCTCTCTCTCTCTCTCTCTCTCTCTTCTCTTTCTCTCAGTTGTTATATTTTTTATGGTAAAGGTCTTTACAAAAGATACATAGAGCTTTATAGTGTAATTATAAGTCAGTGAACAGACCTACATCAAACTACTGAAAATATTTTCCCTCAGCTTTGTTCCGCTTTTTAACACAGTTTTCTGGTTGGTATGTAGAATGCAATTGGGAGGACAGCAGCCTCACTGAGTCTTGGATCAGTGCCACAGGGAACCGGGTACTGCCTATCGCCAATGGCACCTCCTCTTTATTTTTACTGAAAATACTGGCATTATTAACCCTGACTGTCATCATTCGTCACGTTAACACTGGTGGCGACACGAGCATCTTGGGAGTGACAGTGAGATTTCATTTTTATAGTGTCTTCCTTCAGCTTCATTATTTCATTGGCTTCGTTAGCATTGGCGGTAACATTGGTTTCCATAACTGTCATTTTTCATCTTTGCATTGTCTTATTTCAAACTTCCTTACTTCACTACTAACTGTGTGGTCTTTCGTCTTAGTGTATCAATTGCTTTAGGGACCTCTTAACACTAACATTCATGTGGCATCACCTACTGACACCACAGATGTTGCACAGTCTGGAGGAGAAAAGTTCCCCTATTCTGGCCCCCTCCGTCCTTAACTGTTAGGTGAGGGCTGACTGGCGGCGTAGGTGTCACGTGGGAAACCAGGTGTTAGGGGCTGCGAATTCTGAGATATAATTTAGGAGCACGCGTTTCGTTCTGCAGTACTTACTAGCTGTACAGCATTGTCTCACAGATACGGGAAGGACGCTCCAAACCTAGCTTGGGTCGGGTGGGAAGAAATAGCAAAATATATTTCTTTCCGGGTTGTGAAATCACTTTGGAGAATGAAATGCTTGTTTACCTTTATCATAATCTTAACTAGCACTCGTTCACTCAATGTCTCCGTCCAGGGGTTCTCAAAGGGGGGGGTCACGAGATTCAAAAACCCCTCCTCCTCCTCCTCCTCTTCCCCCCACCCCCCGATCCTAACGTGTCTAGTACTTGTCAGTGGTTTTCGACCTGCCTGATGATCGATAATACATACATACAGACATCGACAGGCAAGCACAATACACGTAGACAGTGAAACGTGGAGACTGTCGGAAATGTTTTGTTGTGGTTCGCAAATCTTTCGAAGTAACTTGTACAAGTCGCTTCCATGGGCTGAAGTGAGAAATTTCTACAGCTGCTGGTATCTCTAAGGACGTGGTTAATGCTTCCCTCTGGGTTTGGGATCGGGTCGAGACTGTCAGCTGGTTACTCAAGCATTGCCAGTGCCACTCAAGGAGGCAGTGGGAGGGCCAAAACTAGGACGGAAGTGCATTACCAGTGCTAGGTCTCTCCTGGCATCCTATATCAAGCATGATGGGCCAGAAACTGAGACAGGTACAGCACTTTCTTCAACTGCAGTATTGCAATGAAACTCCCCGACATTCTACTGTTCACTGTTTACCACACAGCACACCCCTTTGTAGTATGGTCGTTTCCCATACAGATGTAATAAGTAATAGGGATGGCCAACATGGAGGCGCATGGTTGGTGGTTTGTATTTAAAATGACAATAATAATAATAATGAGGATAATGATGATGGTGATAATAATAATAATGATAAAATAATAGTAATAATGATAATAATAATGATAAAATAATAGTAATAATAATAATAAT